TATATATATATATATAAATCTATAATTAATCTAAAAATGTTGGGCGATATCTAAATTCTAGTAACCGCAGTGGCACAATTGCCGCGATTTCCGTGGATTGTACGTTTTTTGCGCGGTCAATCCCACGTTTCTTTAATATTAAATAACATTAAAACGAAAAATTATGCAAAAAATCATAAATTAAATCAAAGTCTCGCAAAATATGTAATATTTTTGTCGTACCGTGCATAATAAACGGAAATGAAGATCAGGAGTGACACAATGGCAGCAGGAAGCAGGAGTTTGGATATCGTTTTTTTATTAACGTTTTATCAGTTACAATTTTGATTACATACACATAATGTGGAGTCGTCTTTAAACACACGGCTGCTATGATACAAATGACGAGGATAAAAATTTGGAGTGCGTAAAAATGTGATTGGATGACAATTCGCTCTTTTGCTTCTATCTTCCTCCCTTCCTGCTCTTTTCCCTTCTCGCTCTCCGCTTGATCTCCTTGACTACTTCATTGGTCATGGCGATGGGCCAACCTTGAACGTATATTAATATAATATACCGAGTTTTTGGCCCATGTCCACTAGAGTACAGGGTAGGTAGGTATGATATCCTTGATCGCAATTAAATCGTCCCTAATTCGCTAATATTTTACACGCAATGTCGGTGCGCAATCATCGCTCAAGACTGGCCCGGCGTTGACGAATCTGTTCGACTCGTCCAATCTCAGGACTGCGTTTCTCACACCGAGACCACCGGAGAGGCACCGGGAGACTCCGTGCCAAATTCAGAGGACGGTATTTACAGAGGGAATTTATGAAATAGCAGCCGCGACCGACAAACGCGTCCCACCGTGAGGGATATTACATTTACACGGAACGGCTCCTCGTCTCTTGCTCGTCCATGTTGCTTGTAGACGTCGGAAAAACAAAATGCGGATCTAAAAGACGTCTGAGGATTATCAGAAAGACCCAGACATCTTTTAAATATTTGTGCAACTCGTGGAAATTGTAGAAACGCATCACAACGGCTTTGATTATAATTAATTCTGATCTAGCTCCAGCTAATGCAAATAGAAAAATTTCCAAGTAGTTACATTCAACGAATTAGCATTGATTGTACCGATATTCTCAATTATTATTCTCTTCTGAGAATAATAATCTTCGTTGATTATAAAATAATTATTTATAAAATGAATTGATGAATATGTGTATTCATCAATTAAAGTCTAAAGTCATTCAAAAGTGCCGCTTTGAAATATTTGCATTCTCCTACACGGCTAATTAAATGATGATGATGATTCGAATTATGCCTACAGTCGGACGTATACTCAGATCTGCAAGGACGAGGCGAAACTTGGAAAAATGTCAGGGTGCAATGACACAAACGAGAAAAGTCCTCTGAACTTGGAACAATAACGGTAGATTGCCTTCGCGCGTATACATTGTATTCAGCGACGAGTGGCACGTCTTCTTGTTTTGTTCTTCCTCTCTTTATCATTGTACACACGATTGATTATCTGTCAACAATTATTTGGAATATTCCTTTTAGGTAAACAGTATCGGGGGGTGGACAATAGGGTGAGACGCTAATCAGTTTAGATAATCGCGGCGCGATGCACGACCTCCGTGTAATACTAATGCTTTTCTTAAAACACAGTCGGTGAGGTGATATGCAATTTGTGATTCGCAAAGACTTTTAAATTGTACGTAGATCGCAACGAGTAATAACTGAAGTTTTCATTCGAAGCGGAGTATAAATTACACCCGGCGTTGACGATCCAGAGACGATTTTTCCAAATGCACATATGCGGCCGGACTTGTACAAACGATTGAAAACTTGACAGAGCTTCATTTAGCAAGATGAAGTGAATATCGAATCTTTTCTGTCTTTATCCTCCTTTTATCCTTTCTCTATAAAAGTTAAAAGCGGATTGCCGCTGAGAAATCTCCAATTATTAAATATCTACTAGAAGGTCTAAACGTTTTTAATAAAGTTGCTCAATTACTAAAACGTTAAAATGAGGAACTCTGTTTGCTGTTTGAAGATCAGGCTTACGACTTGGAGATTTGCTTGACATACAATCGAATTGGCAAAAAGGAAATGGTGAACCATGATTGTGATAGTCGTCACTCGATTGCTCAGTCCAAAGCTCACAAGTGAATCCCATTCTATAATTGCGTAGTTTTAAATAATTGTTATAAGAATTGACTAATTATAGTCGAATATGAGAATATCCTATTATGAATGGTCAATTCTTACAACTTACGCAATGGTAGAATGGGTTTAGTGTTTTCACTCTAAAAAGTATATCGGTATAAATTTAACACTATGCGATGTCTATATATTCTCGTGTTAGTGTTAATATTAACATATGGATTTAATATCATGAGTTTTTTATTTTGATGGGATTGTTATTTTGATGAAACTTTAAGCTTTTTTTTATATAAAATTTCATCAAAATAATATGAGTGATTCTCAGTTTTTTCTTTAATATTGACACTCTGTATCTTTAAAACTAAGTTATAAACATTTATGATCATATGAAGTTTTCATCTTAAATTTGTGTGAGAAAACCTCTTAAAATCTTTTATAAATATTCACCTTGTATAGACACCACATGGTGATAAATCCACATTGATTTTTTTTGAGTGTTTGAATGCGACACTTCTCTCCTTGGAAATGCACTTGAAGATGCACCTCTTCGATTCAGAAATCGAAATATTGTGCGACGAAGATTTTCGTATGTGTAATTTGCGTGTGCATAATTATGTTTTCAGATGGTAATTCTCTCTATTGGAATGCGCTATACTTTCATTTAAATAAAAAACAACGATCCTATTTATGACATGCGAAAAAAGAAATAACTCGTTGGCATGTTTAGATTTGACAAATGGCAACTTCGCAATTTCTCTGACATTCTTTGACAAAATATCATCATTTCACTGTAGATCATGTATCATTAATCAAGCGTCGAATGGAGTGAATGATTCAGTTAAATGAACACGGTACTCGCGACACTCATAAACGCTAGATGAATAGTTCGTTTATTAATAGTCTATCAAATATTAATCGTGAATTACAACGATATCGTAATACGACCAGCAAATGTCATTCGTGCTAAATCTTGTTGAAGAATAGAAATTAAGCTAATCGAGCGCTTGCTGTTTATCAGCCGGTAGCTTCATGAATCGTGTTCTATACATGCGATCGC